TGTTTCTATTAGCTGTGTGTTACAGACATTTCAAGCTAGCATGAGGTTAATCCTGTGTGTGATGGTCTAAAAAAATCTGTTTGTGTCTGTTTCTTTGCTCTTTAGTTGTGCTATTTATTGGCATAATAAGTGTGTCATTAATTGGTGGTACTGGTGAAAACAACTTCTGCTTTCACACTGACAACCAAAGTTAGTGCATTGGAGTTGCACAGGCTGTGGAGGTCTCATTCTTAGCAAAGTAGCCTGAAGAAAGCAAAATAACTGGCCTGAGGAAGTCATGTAAGATGTAGAAGCAGTGAACCCTAAATCAACATAAAATTTTATGTGAAGCAACAAAAAAAAAAAAAAAAAAAACCATGGATCCAAAGCTGTTCTCAGTCATACCTAAGAAATGCAGAAGTATGCCTCAGAGTAGAATTTGCTCTACAGAACTTCATACATTATGTATCACACTCACACATCAAAACTGCTAGTAGGCATTCACTTACCTGAAGCCTGAAGAACGGGAAGTTTGAATGTAGCTGAGGCCAAGTGTAACACATTTCTTTGCTTTCCTTTGGGGATCATTTTGCATTTCACATCTTTGCACTTTTCTGAGAACCAAAGCTGCAGTTCACCTTTGTTCTTAAAGGATGGCAGATGTTGTTTGTAAAGGCTAAAAGCACTTTTTTGTTCTTTTTAACTAACAGAACTGTAAAAAAAGATGAGCCCAAACCCTGTGGCATCTGGTTAGGCAAAATCCACACTCGGATTTGTGGACTCTAGCTTTTTTTTTATTTACAGACGGTGCTGTATATCACTACAGCTCTATATTTTCTTCCTTTGTAAATAAAGCATAAAGACCTGTTTGTTATTGCACAGCACTTTGAGTACTGTGGTTGAGAAGTGCTGTTACAGAATTATTAATAAAAATGGTCTCTTCCCTTTTACAGAGAGATTGGTGCTTGCCCAGCCAACATTTGTTTTTGAAAAGAAGGACGGTCCTTTGAAGGTAAAAAGCTTTTTTTTTTTTTTTCATAATTGACAAAAAATGCTGAGAAATGAGGATTCTATAGACAATGATCCTAACAGTAATAAAATATTTTAGCCCAGGTTAAGACTTCCAATAAGTGGTCTCAAAATAGAACAAGGAAAAGTGGAAACTAGAAACAAGACTGCTTTTAATGCATGTATGCTGGATTGGTATACTTTGTGACCTGGTCTAGAAAATGGCTGTTCTATTCTCCTTGACCTCTCCACGCTTATATTTTTTTTTCCAGCGGCCTGCAGAAGACCCAGTTTGCAAAGCTGAAAATGGTAATAACTACCTCATTGAAACAGTATATTCATAGACCTATATTCGTATCAGACCTATATTCGTAGGTGTGACTGTTGCCTGTGAAAACAGTGTTTGGACCCTTACTTTGTATGAGCAGGGACAAATCCCTGTTAGTAGACTAAGGCTATGTGGTTGTAGAGCCACCTACTATGTCCTGATATATGTCACTGGTTTACCTCAAAAATTCTTCCATCTTACCTCTCATATGTCCCAGAAAGCCAAACTCCAGAAGCCCTGACAAATGGACAAGTATATTCATCAGCTGTATGAGCTCTTAGCTGCCCTTTTCTATTTGTTTAGGCTACATTATAATGTAACTTCTCATTCTTAATGTCTTCTGAGCCAGCGGGCTCTGAACTGATTTTAAGTGCTTGATTAGGTTCCTTGAAATTAGTAGAAATAAAGAAGACTTCATGGGGCTTTGTGCCAGGTGTTGACCAAGATTCCAAAGCCCTTGTGTTCTTAGGTACTGCCTTAAAGCTGTTCCTGTAAGTCATTCTTAGAATTTATTGTGTTCAGGTTTTAATTCCATATAGTAACATTGTGCTGAAATTGCCTGCCAGTCTGTCCCTTCAGAACTTTGTATTTACTCTTCTTTAGATCTCATTAATTGTTCCAGAAAGCGTGCAAGATCATCATCTTATACTTTCCAGAAGTCTGACTCTCAGTCTAACACAGGTATGACGTTTAGCTCTAGTCATGTTTTAATTTCAATAGTTCAGTATTCTCATTTGGTAAAGAAGAGAAGGAATTTTCCTGTCTAAGAAACACTTCTGCACTGTAGAAATGCTGCAAGTCATGAAAACTTAAACATATAAGCTTGCTGGTAATTTCCAATAAATCCCTTTTTAAGTAAAAATATATTCATTTTCTATACTTACTTAATATTACATAAAATAGTGAAAAATCTGTATATTTCTTATAATTTCCTTGAATAGCTCACACAGTCAAGGGTGGAGAACTGAAAAGGAATTAGATTCCCTGGTTTGTGGAAGAGATCAGTATTCCCTGGGCAATCCCTGAAAATGTAAAGCAGTTTCCAGAAGGGCCTCTCCTGCAATCCAGCTAACAGCTGACCTCAAAGGCCCTTTAAAGACATGGGAAATGCACGTGGGTCACTGAGGCCACTGTGCATAAAGACTGATCTGGTTTTTACAATGTTTGTTTAACATACAGATGGGACCAGAAAGTTATTTCTGAATTCAGACATGAATATGTGTATGCTGTATTTTGTTTTATAGTCCTGTGACACATCTGAATGTAGCTAAGAGGATTCAAGAAGCTAAATTTGGTTTACTCTGAAAATTATGCTGAGATCAGGCATAGAAAATCATAGATATCGCAGAAATTTCAGGGTATGTCTATACCAAAAAATAAAGCAGAGTGCAGGAGGAAGCTGGAATGTTTGACCTCTTGATTGTCCACGCTGCTTAGGTGATAGCTCACTCCCTGGTTCTATTTTGAACATCCCCAACTGGTGTTCTCTGAGACAGAAGCATTACCAAGTGGACTAGCAGTAACCAGTGTGACTGAGCCAGGCTGTGCCACTTGGCCTCAGAGGTCTCTCCTGGCATAATCTAACAGTACAGGCATAACCTATCAGTCTGCTTCAGAAAGCTGGTAGTTAGCAGATAATAATTATTCTACTGCCAATGAAGGCATGACATCAAATTGGCTAACCTTGAAATTAATCTGTTTTTTTTTTTTTCTCCAAACAAATTATAATTTCAGTCTCTCATCCTTTCAGATACAACTCTAGGTCAGAAAAGAGGGAGATCATCTTCCTTTACCATCCTTCCTACTTTCCCTCCCTCCCAGCCAGGTAATTTAAGAAAAAAAAAAAAAAAAGAACACAAAAAAAAGGAATAAATATTTATGTAGAAAAGCAGGTATTAGCTAAAATAAAGAGGTGTACAGAATTGCATTTTTTATGAGATAGAGCTGGAGTGTATTGGACTAGGCTGGAATTTGGACAGGTGAAAGGAATGTTTTAGGAGGAGGACTGGCAGTTCAACAGAAGAAATGTTTTTTGTATTTGTTGTTAGGGAATCCTGAGGTGCTGGGGAAGGAATCTTTGATTAATTTACAAATAAGCATTTACACAGTATGGTACCAAAGTATGCTTGAAAAAACAGAGTGGAGTTGAAATAATTGCATGAATTAGTTTGCTTGCAATTTCATGGTGATGGTTAACGTAGGAATATAATTTTTTCTTCAAGGAGCCTGTCTTCCACTAACCAGTGACCCTGGGAGTATTCTCCCACTTGCCACTTATGGGAATGATGGAGTGGTCTTAAATCCTAGTCTGTGTCTCTTATCAGAAAGAGTTCCTTGACAGACATTGGCATAAAGGATTTCTGAAGAATCTTAAGAGGCCACAACATTGTTATAGCAACAAGTCACAC